TAAAGAAAAAGACCTAAATACATGGAAAGTAATACTGGATTCACAGATTCTGAGACTCAACAGAGTTATGATATGAGTTCTTAAATCTATCCATAGGTTTCATGTAATTACCATAAAAATTCCAGTAGGCTAATTTTGTACACAAAATTATGCTAAATCTTCCATAGAAAATATTATACAATACAATGGCTAAATAACTGTAATAGCTTTACAGCATGTGGATAAAGTGGGAGAACTTACTGAATTAGAATTTTAGGCCTATTATATACATATACACACCATACCGCTGTGGTGTTCATAACGAAATGGAAGAAGAAACAGCAGGCTGCAGAATTCACATGGCAAGCCACAAATTCATGCTCTATGAATTTTGAAATTAAAATACAAAATCAACTCAGAGAACCACCAGCCTTTTCAACCAATGCAATAACTTCTCAACCATGCAAATAAGTAACAAGAACAATGAATAAATTACAACCAAAGTAAACCTCACAAATTAAATACACATTCACTAGAAATGAATCAGAGCCTCAAATGTAAAATATAGAGCAAGAAACCTTTTAATATTTTTTATTTAAAAAATTAAAAATTAAAAAAATGGCCAGGTGTGGTGACATGTCTTTAATTCAAGACTCAGGAGGCAGAGACAGGTGGATGTCTGTGAGAGAGAGGCCAAGCTGGTACAAACAGTGATTCCAGGAGAGCTGAGGCTACAGGGAAGCCCTGTGTCAAAAACGAAATAAATAAAAAGTAAAAATTCAAAAGAAAGTATTCAGAATGAAGAGTTATACTTCACATGAAAAGTATAATATGTCGTCAAAACTTTTTATAATGAACCTCGTCAAAATTGAGAACTTTTTTCTGCAAAAGGCATTAAATGATGAAAAATTAAGCTTCAGTGTGGCAAAAAGTATTTGCAAAACCCATATCCATAAAGGAACTAGTATCAATACATGTAATATTTTTTTTCAAAACTCAGTGCAGAAGGAAAAAGCAATTCAATTATAAAATAGACAAATACATTTACAGAAATTTTACTGCAGAAGAAAATGTATATTAGCACATGAAAATGTAAGCCATCATTAAATATTAGAGAATTGAAAATGAAAGCCGTGAGATATCACAAGAATCCTCTCAGAATGGCTGTCATTAAATAATGACAAAATAGTGCAAGCCAGTAAGAACAGCACAGTAAAGTTATGATGTCAACTAATGTGGCAGATTTCTTTTCATACTCAATGCATATTTAACTTATAGGTTATATTTACTCTTGGACATTCATCCCTGAAAAAGAAAACAAATTTTCACCAGAAAATTGTGTGAAAGTTATAGAAGGCTTGGGTGGTTTTATTTTATTTTTATTTTTGTTTGTTTGGTTGGTTGGTTGGTTTGCTTGATTTTAGAGACAACCCAGGCTCCCCTCAAATATATAGCCTCTCCACGTGCTGAGATTGCAGATTTGGGCCACTACTCCTGGCCAAAGTTTCAGTATTTATAGCTATTTGCACACTAGAAATAGCCAAGGTGCCACTCAGCGAAGTAATAAAAACCAAGGGATACCTATACCAAGAAAAGCTCTTCAGGAATGAAAGGAAATTCAACAATTTGAATAGATTGCAAAGCAATTATTCTGAGTGAAAAATCAGTTCCAAATGGTTATATACTACGTGATGTCATTATATTTCCCTGTTGGATGAAAAAGTTTTAAAGAACAGGTTACTGATTGCCAGTGTCTTGGGACACAGTTTGGGTGAAAGTCAATGACCAATATTTTGAGAAATGATGAAAGGAGAGTTCCTTGAGGTGACATCAGTGTTCTAGACCTTGGAAGCCTTTTGTAACACCACCCTCATTATGGTATTTTCTACCAGTCTTGCAAAATGTTGCCATTGAGCAAAGCTTGATAAAGTGTACAGTATAACTCTATACATTATTTTATCTGGATGAATCTGATTTTTCAATAAGTTCAGGAATAAAAATTCAGTTGAAAAGAGTGTATCAAAATATAATATCATTTTTGGCATTGGAATACTTACATGTGCACTTGGAAACTATTTATATGATACTGATGATAGGGCATAACTAACCATGAAACCAGTAATTAAAATTAGGTGGTCAAAACACAGGAAAATTCTTACAGTTTTTGAAGCAAGTGTATTTCTATAGATGGAAATAAAAGATCTTGAGAATTATCACCTTCATTCACTTTTCATCTAAAACAGTAAAATAAAAAAAATAAGAGAAGACAGAATTTAAAAACCCCATGCTTTATGGTGAAAATGACTATAGAGACTATAGAGTATTGTTTTTAATGATGCGGGGGATGGAAAGTTCATTCATAGTGCTAGACTATGCTAAACATGATACCGGAGTAGTAAAATAATCAGTTTTATCCAGCTGTGAATTCTGTGTGACACGTAAACACTGACCAGAAAAAAATGCCCACTAGTGCAATAATGGCATGCATATTATGAAGGAAGCCAAACACATTTTGATTGGAATTAAGGCATACTCCATGAGATGGCACTGTTATCTGTGCTAAGGACAGTTGGCTAGATGGGCTATAGGTCCCAGAGGAATATCTAATAGTTTGTTAGACATCATATTAAACCAACTATTAACCACTTTTTATATCCTCAGATTGGTGCATTTCTCAACCCTTATCAGAAAAGATTTAATTTGCAATAGAAGGTAATTAACGGAGACCCACAACTGGTCAAGGTTCAAAGGATCAGAGACTGTGGAGTCCTCAAACAGTAATGGGATAGCTGTATCACAGCTCTCCCCCTAAAACTCTGAGATCATTGAAGAAAATGGGCTGAAAAGATTGTAAGAATCAGAAGTGGATGACTACAATAAATCAGTGTTGGTGTACACATCAAGGCAGTGTTCTTTAAGATTATGACCCCTAATTGGTCAACCATGCTCCAGGGCAGCCTCCATAACCAAGAATATTTGGGCAACACAAATTGGTCTCTGCCAATTTTTAAAAAGGAACATGGACTTGGGAGGGTAGGGAGGTGGGTATAGATTTGGGAAGGATTGGGGGAGGGGATGATTAAAACAGTTGTATGAAATTTTCAAAGAATTAGCAAAACATTAAAATGAAAGTAATAAATCAACGGAGTAGAAATTCTTGTTCATCCTAGTAATAGCTATTGAAGTTGTTTCCATGATTTGCAGCTTTTCATTGCACATATGTACTTTGAATGAAAATTCGCTGTCCATAAAAGTCATGCTAACAATGTCAATGTTGTTAATACTATATACTTAAAGAAAAAAAAATACTAGAACCCTTCATTAGAAGCTCATGCTTTGAAACTTATAAAATTATTTGCAAGTGGATTATTCAGGAACTAATAGTGACAGTTTATGAACTGCCTGATAGCTAACAATGTGCCAAAATGTCAGAAACTCAACTAACAGCCCTTGGGCTGATACCCGTCAACAGAAAGCTATGCTATTTCAAATGTCATTTATAAATATTTTGAGTTCCTTTTTCCAAATCGGAAAGGGAAGCCATAGCACAACTAGCTGCAAATCAATTGCATGATGGAATTTCAGTGGCAAAACTTCCCGTTTCGTCAGTTTGTCACTCTCTCTGGAATGCTACTTGACACACATTAAGCTTTAAGCTTTTTGCCTTTCAGTTTTTACTTTCCATTAAGATGTAGACATATGAACTTATGACAAACGCCATTATTTTGGAAATTTTTCAACACTTCATTCATCCATCTATAAATTCAAGGGTCATTTTAATGCAATTTCTCAGAATAATAGAGCAGAGTTTATATTTAAACATATAAAAGAATTGTAGGTCAGGACTTTTGAGATTTAGATTGCTGATATGACACATTATTTTACTATCACAACAAGTAATGAAATCAAGGGTATAAACACATTCAACTCAACTAATCTCAGAAGAATGAGGACCCCATATTTATCTGTCTTGTACAGCCATCTGCTTAAAAACAAAATCAAATCACCTAGCGAATGTGAAATTCCTTTTGATTAAACCTGAATAGGTGGTCTAAACAGTGCTCCTCCGTCGCTGTATTAATATGGCAATCATTTGTCAATACCCAAGGCAAAACTCTATTTCTGATAATAACAATGTCTGAATATAAATGTCTGAATGTGGTACATGGATACTATTTTTCGCATTATCATTAAATATACTGTATGTTTCATTCCCAATGTGTAAAAGATGCATAAATGTGTGATAAATTCTCTTAAGGATAATGGCAAAGAGTTGTTATTAACCTTGATATTGGCCCTAGGAGACTTGGAAACATTTTGTACTTTCACTTAGCAAAAAGTTCTATAACAGAATATTTATATTTCCCTAGTACTGTAAGGCTTCCTTCTTGTTCTTGTGTGTGTATTAAAGTAGAACACACACACACACACACACACACACACACACACAGAGAGAGAGAGAGACA